GACATTCTGACATAAGAGGTAGTAGAATCCTATTCTGCGTGCTCTTGGACATGTTTCCAAAGTTTCTGGGCAAGTATGGCTCCTGTCAAGGCCCATAGGCCCTGGGTCAAAGCAAGTTGTCAAAAAACATTTATTAAGCACCTACTATGTGCTAGGCACTCTGCTAAGTACTAGGGATACAAAGAAAAGGATTTTAAAATTGCATTCAGGGGCAGCTAGGTGGCACAGTGGAGCACCAGCCCTGGAGTCAGGAGGACCTGAGTTCAAATCTGGCCTCAGACACATAACACTCACTAGCTGTGTGACCCTGGGCAAGTCACTTAACCCCATTGCCTAGCCAAAAAAAAAAAATGCATTCAATATTCCAATGCAACCCCACTGAATCAGAGCAGGAATCCTGAGGAACAAAAAAATCTTCTTAGAAGTCTCCCACTTGGGAGAGGAAAGAGAATTAGGCCCTCAAGCACATGTTACTTGGGGTGTGCCCGGAAGGAAGTCTCCCTTGGTGATGGTGAAGATGGCAGGCCCATTGGAGAATATGTCATTGATATGGAGTAATTTGCCTGGAAAACTGGAGAGTACACTTTTGAAGGAAGTGATACCTGATCCTATTCCAGAGGCGATAGAAGGACTCTCAGGGCTCTTGCTGAGGAAGGATTCCTTTAGACTCAGGACTGTGGGTAAAACTCAAAAGGAAAAGGAGCGAGAGTGCATCATGATAAAGAAGCTCAAAAACCAGTACTCATGGCTGCAGGGTCATTCCTTCAATAGGATTCAGGTCTGGGGCAAATCACTGTACCCCATGACTCTCAGCACAGACACCTCCCAATATTTTTATATAGTTGCCATCATATTAAAATAAACATCAAGGGAAGCCTTCATGGAAATAAGTAATTAGACTGAGAGAAACAGACAGAGAGATAGGAATATGATAGGTAGATAGACACATAATATATAATATAATAATGGATATATTTATCTATCTGGATATCTATATCCATCATATAGTATGTGTATATATTTATATATGCATATGTAGTTATATGGAGATACATAATAAATAAATATTATATATGGATAGGAACTGGACCTGAGATTTTATTGGTACAGCAAATTCCTGGATGCAGGAAGGCTGGCATTTTTCTCTGCAACTTATAGCCTTAGAGAACTGCCTAGAGCACTGACTTGCCCAGGTTACACTGCAAATGTGTTAGAGTTGGGACTTGAACCCAGGTCTCCTGGCTTTCTATATACTATGCCAAACTACCTCCATATTTAGTTAAATACATGAGTCTTTTGGCACCAAATGGTAAAGCTACCTCCTTCACCACCACCTTTACCCACCCAGAGGTGGCTAACTGCAAAACAGGAGGGATAGAGTCAAGGAGGAGAGACCACAGATGTGGCAAATGTATTGCAAGAGTTAACACTGAAATGGAACAAATACATGTTAAGCACCTAGAGAGAGGTGGAAAGATTTTTTTAAAAAAATTAGGTGAAACATGGCATTTGCCCTAGTGGAGATTACAGTCTAATGGGGGGTATGAATGACACCTACAAATAATTACTGTATAAAATAATACATGATAAGTTCAGAATAGGTCTTTCCCCCCCAATTCTTCCAGTTTTTTATATCCTATCCCAATATTACTTTGCTTTAAGTCTGCATAAATTTTGTATTTACTTATTAATCAATCAATCCTTAAGTGCCCTCCATGTGCCAGGCACTGTATGAGGCATTGTCTATACAAAGCCAAAAATCAAACAGTCCCTGACCTTGTCTGTGGTACATGCTGTTTTCAAAACTCAAAAAGAATGTAGGCTGGTTGAGGGTAGAGACTGTTTTGTCTTTATGTTGACAGGGTCTAGCGCACTGCCTAGAGCACCGTGGCCCCTTAACAAACAAAGGCATGCTGAATAAACAAATGAGTGACAGAGGTTTGGGCAAACTGTTGTTGGTGAGGAAATATTGTCTTAGTATTCTCATCACTGGATGGTGTAAAGTAAACCTAACTTGGACTAGAAGTGAAATTAGACTTGTGTGCTGCTCCTGCCTTTACATTAATTAACTGGTCAGTGACGGGATCATAGGCAAGTCATTTAATTTCTCTGGCCTGTTTTCTGATCCCTGAGATGAAGGAGCTAGGGTAGGGAAGAGCTTCCTCAACAATACATCTTGAAGTGGCATATGTTAAGGTTAGTTTCTCTTATCATGCCCTTTTCTCTATGGATTGCTGAGATCCCCAGCATGGAGGGGAACGTAGCCTACAGTGGTTTCACTGATGTCAGAAGTTTTCATTATCCTTGTGCCCCAAATTCTTCTCTATTTTCATGCCCAGAGAAATTAAAAGGAACTATTCCTCACAAAATGATCTTAAGAAAGTCTACAATTCTCTAGGATTTCTAATTCTGAATATAGAATTTTCCTAACCCAACACAAAACAAGCTTGAAGACCTAGGTTTGAATCCTTCCTCAGATTCTTATGTACTAGTTGTATGACCCTGGGTAAGTCACTGTGCCTCATTTTTCTCATATGTAAAATGAGGATAATAAATCACACAGGACTATTGTGAGGGTCCAATAAAATAATATATATTAAATGCTTTCTAAACTTTAAAGTACCATATAAGCAACTGTGGTCATTGTGTAAGACAGAGCTACTTCCAGTTAGTAACAACTTGGTTTCTAATTATTGTATTTAACCACACACGGTGGTTTATTTGGGTGTTGGTTGACAAGTGTCTGATGTGTAAAAAATTGTGATGATAATGGTGATGATGATGATGATACAGAGAAAAAGCAGAAGAAATTAAAATAATGTAGAAAAAGGACGAAGTATATGTCATCCCTGTTATTCTGTCTACAACTGCATTTGTCTTAAGGACACTTTCAGTGAGCTTAGAGAAGATAGGTTTACATCTTACTGCTTTCAGTAAACTACCAAAATCAGTAACTTTATTCACCTATGCTATAGCTCACAAAATTCTAAACATAAAAGAATAATAGCAGGATAGAAATTTGTCCCAGTACCATTTCCATCTGAACACTATCAAACAAATGAGGAAAGCAATTTTAATAATAATTAATAACAACAACAAAGGACATCAAGCAATTATTATTTAATGCACAAAATCCCTTGGATACTTCAATCTGTAATCTACATAGATATATGTTATACATATCTTTCTTTGTGAATAAAGGACAAAACATATAGTAATAAGGAAGGATCAATTAGCAACCTAATTAAGTAGGATCCTATTTACTCCTATTGATATCCTATTGCCAATGTTTAAACTAAAGTATTCTATCTCCCTCAAAATCCACATTGCCTATAATTGAAAATATTTGAATTTCACAATTTCACAAGAATTTTGTCTTTAAATTTTTCAGGGATTCTAGGGAAAACTATATGATGTAAAAAACCAAAAAACATCAATAAAAACTTATTTCAAAAATTTCATCAAGAATAGCTGTTTAGGCAATAAAATACTCTGACATATTAATAGAGGTGTATGGGTTTTCCTAAATTAACATTTAACTATATCATTTGCTAATAGTACCAATTTATGAACTTGCTCATTGTTTTTCCCTTCTCCAAGCTTCCACCTCTCTATTATTTAGCTATGTACGCACATACACAAATGTATACTTAATATATATGTGCACATATCCAAAATAATATACCTATGTGTATATACACATGTCCACATACATGTACAGAATTCATGTTATATAGTTAATAGATTAAATCTACATTGAGACTTTTGAAACATCCTGCATATGATTACATAGAAATGGAACTTGGAAATAAACTTAATTTATAAAAATCTAAAAAAATAGCAGAAGATAAAATTTAACTAACAGAGATAAGAGAGACATCATTTAGATGAAGAAAAACAATTATATTTCAGACCTTTAAAGAACTTTATGGTCAGAGAACTAGCCCCTAGAAATGGTATTTTATAGGGTTCTATTTAGGTTATTTTATACACTATAAAAGTATATAATATATAAAGTGTATATAAATATAATACAACAATATATAATATTATATGTGTATGTGTATATATATGTGTGTATATATACACACATATATAAAAATGAGGTGACTCCTACGAATCCTTCTCAAGTTCGTTATCTATGAATTCTAGGCACAAAATTTTCATGTTCATTAGCACATGATCTTGTTGCCAGACTAAGTCTAGAAAAAAAGATTTGGCATTGGAAAAAAAAGGGGGGGGAGAGGGTATAGAAAAAGTTGGAGACCACAATGTGCCAAATGATAAATATTAGTCTGTAGCGTGGTGCTGTTATTCATTCTTTTTAAAGCAAGCAGAATACTGGAATGTTATAAACAGAAGTGTAGCGTGCAGACCTCAAACTAAATATGAATCAGTGGCTAATTCTATCTGCCCAATCAACCAGGCAATAACCTTTCATTAAATCTACCAAAGAAAGGTTCCTGTTAGCCCTTAGGCAATTTTACAAGCAGACTCCATGGAATGGTTAAACATTTGCATGAAATGTAAGCTGAAACCTGAACTAGTAAAACTGATTTCCTAATGGTGAATGTATGATACATCCCCTTCACTCCCTGGACAAAATGAAGATATTTATAGAATAAACATTTCCCCTAAGTACATATTTACTGTCATTCTACCACACTGTGAAGATTTGTGTTACTACAGAACAAGGTGTCATTTGGTATTTCACCAAATTTCTAAAGTAAATCTACAATATATCAGTGTTTCCTCAAAACATGCACAAACACACACATGCACGCATGCATGCACACATGCACGCACGCACACATGCATGCACCTCAAGAAGTAAATATTACCAAGCCTTAGCATTAATCTTCAGAATAATAATCTATTTAACAGCTCAGGAACTTGGATTTGTGAATTCATCTCATGTGGTAGACCCATTGCCCCAAGCCTGCCATGTGTTGCCCCATGCCTGCCATTTCTAAGCAAGTCAAACTCTGGTTCTTTCTTACCTGTAATCTGACTCTGTCCTTGTGGATTAAAAGGACTTGGTGTAGAGTTCAGGGAGGGCCGTGGGTTCTGAGTCGGGACACCTACTCTCATACTGGGATGAGGAATGCGCCCTAAATCACTGAGGCGTTCAGAGAACAAACTAGGTTTAGAGTCATCAAGCTTCTGTCTGTGCCCTGGAAACAGCAAATCATAAAATAAAAGCATTATTAATATAGCTGAACAATCGACCATACCAAATATATGTGTGTATATATAAATACGAATGTTTAAAACTACTAATAATGATATTTTATATTTATGTGATTATAAGGCCTCCAATCTAAAATTAGTTTATAAGCATTATGTCAAATATCACTATTCCCATTCTACAGATGAAGAAAATGATCTTCATGAAAGGAAACTGATTTCCCTGAGTCACACAGTTTATTTATTCAGCAGTAGAAATGCTAATGATAACCTTCTTGCTTAAGTACTCTGTGAAAGAGACCACACTCTCCCCTCACTGAAAGGGCAGAAATAAGATTTGTATGTGTTAGGGTTTTTTTCCTCCTCCAAACTGTGTTTTTGTCTGTCTTTTCTTGTTGTAGCTATTGTTTTTATAGAAGAGAGGAAATGAAACTTAAGTCCCAGAGGTCCTTTTGTATGTGAAAAACCATATCCACAGTAGGGACAAGAATAGTAGCATGAAGGAGACCCAGGCAGCATAGTGGTGACCACAACATCAAAGAAAAATTTTTCAGGAGAAAGGTCGCATTATTTTTTTTTTATGTTACCTTTCCCATAACCACTAGAAACCTTTTCCAGGAGACTGAAACACAAAACTTCCCCCTTTTAGGGGGAAAAATAGACATTTTATCAGACCATGAATTTAGAGCTTGAAGGGACCTTCAAAATCATAAAAATCCAACATTCTCATTCTACAAATGAGGAAACAGAGACCCAGAGAGGTTAAGTGATTTGCCCAAGACCACACAGAGAGCCAGTGGCGGAGCTAGGATTTAAGTCCAGGTCCTCGGATTCTATATCCAGTGTTCTTTCCATCAAGCAAGGAACCCTGAAGATCTCAAGAGGAGTCTACACTCTCTGATATGTTTCAGGCTAAAATCAGGTGGTATCTTACAAGATATGTGAAAAGGGATACTTTTTTTGGCTTTCTTTAAATCTCAGCTACAATTCCACTTTCTACAAGATTTTCTCAATCCCACTTAATGTTAGTGCTTTCCCTCTACTGATCATCTCTAACTTGTCCTTTGTATATTTTGTATGTATATAGTTGTTTGCATGTTGTCTCCGTCATTAGATTGTGAGCTACTTAAAAGTGCGGATTGTGGGGGGTTTTTTGCCTTCCTTTGTATCCACAGTGCTTAGCACAGTGCCTGGGACATAGCAGGTGGTGAATAAATGCTTATTGACTCGATTTCACATATAATATCCACACCGTGTTCTGGCATGTCTAAGGAAAAATAGGTAGCAGATTTACCATGGGCAGCCTATGAAGGAGAAAATTCGTGCTTGTGTGTGTGTGGGTGTGGGTGTGGGTGTGGGTGTGTATGTGTGCGTGCGTGTTTCTATCTCTCCAGTAGTCAATCTAAGCTTTGTAAGACCCAAGAGAGTTTTGGTGGCATATAAATTAACATGTCCCTGTGTTACCAAACCTGAAAAAGAACACAGATAAAGCTTAGAGAAGGCTCAAAGGATGAACTTTGGACAACTGTAGAATAGAAAAATAACAAGGAGTCCTAGTAAGCCACAAGCTTAATATGAGTCTATAGTATGATGCTGTTGTTTAAAAAACAAGTAGGACGTTTGGATATATAAATAGAAGTATGTCATGCAATCCTCCCATGGGAGTCTGCAACTGGGGAGACCTGTACTAGGAAATAATGTCCAGTCCAAATTGGACTGGGGCCCTGACAATGTTTTCATTAAAATATGAAGAATTTGAAAAGGGTTCAAAAGAGAGCAACCAAAAGGATTAAAGGATTAGGATTTTATTCTATGAAGTAAAGCTAAAGAAGTTTAGATAATTTGCCTTAAGGGAAGGAAGTTTTGTTAAAGGGGGGATTAATTTGCCTTTAGGCACAGACAGAAATATTGTCCAGGAGATGGTAGTAATGCAGTAACTGCATTCCACTGACACTGAGCACAGCACGAGAGAGATGGCTAAGACCCTATTAAGACAGAGTTAAGTTGAATATTTGAATTTCCCAACTATAAGTTGTCTCCAGAAGACAAATTCCTTATTTTATTTGCCCCAAAATGTCTTTTCCTGTCTCCTTATTCATTGACTACACAGCCCAAAGAAAACAGACAGGAGGCCAAGACACAGTAACATGAGTGTAGCTGTCTCCACAGTCAAGCTTGTTCCAACGAGGTCCATTAGCTAAAATGTGCCCCGCCACCCACTTCCTGTCAGTACAAGCTTGAATCGTCTGGTACAGCACCGGGATTGAACCTGAAAGAATCAAGGACCCAGGGAAAGTCTAATTCAAACAGGTGAGAGTTTTCTTCCTGACTTTTCTTATCCCTTTCTCCAAATTATATGTAGATCTCAGACCCAAACGGAAGGTCAAGAAACTATCTAAACAAATTTCTTGCCTTTTTTGCCTCATTTTTATAGCTAAGACACCTCAGGCTCTGAGAGGTTATATGACTTGTTCGAGGTTAGGACTAATCACTTTAGTCTACTCTTTCTGGTGCAGTTCTCCTTCCATAGGATGCCCTTGAATTTGGGCATCCTATCTCCCACCAGTTTCCTCTCATATCCCTTCCAGGAGACTAAAACCATTTATGACAATACTACAAAAGTAGTATACCCCAAGCCCTGGGTATACTGAGTATGTAAGACAAGTTTCCATCACAAAGTGAAGTCATAGCAAGCGTTTGTTACGGGGATAAATGTATCCTTGTTATCCTTGTTTTCCTAAAATGAAGGGCTTCCCTTGTAATGGAGTTGACCAAGTGTCTTCAAAATCCTTAAACAAAATGTCATGTTGGGCCCATTTGCACTGCTGAATCACTACGACACTGTCATAATATTATACATTATTTCTGTAGGGCAGAGGCTATAAATTATTTATCTTTGAATCTTTCTCAGCTCCTAGGATGGTATATCTCTAATAGTAGATATGTAATAAATAGTTCTTAAACATTTATGTTCCTTCAAAATCAGTATTGTTGATAAGGTGTTGACACAGCTTAAGGACTGCAGCACATGAACAACAATAACAAAAAAGTTTGTAGATGCTCTTCAGGAATTACTAAGTGTGTCTACGGGGAATAATTTAAGGGACAATTCCTACTCAATTGTAAATCCCATGAAAGGTTGAGACTCTAACTTAATTATCTTTGTTATCTCCAATAGTATCTGGAACAGTGTGGAAAGTACGTGGTGACAACTTAATAAAGACCAAAATGAAATAAGGACTGATTAGAGGCAGAGGAAAAATGTTGATCTCTCAGAGTCTCTTTTCTGTCTCATGACTTTATATGAAAAATAAAGCCAGGAGTCTATAAGAAACATAATAAACTTTGTCTTTGCTTTCTATAGCCATTTCATTAGTTTACCTGGTAGCTCTATAAGTAGTGAATTCAATGCACTGGCCTGGAAACATATTTATGTTTTCTCTTAACCTAACGCGCTGCAGGGAGCAGTACAAGAAAGACTGAAGGACTGGGCGAGGCACAGTGGAAATTTTGAGAACAGGTGATATTTTAAAAACCTAAAAGATCTTTTAGAAATTATTTTTCCAGTCTTTGTTACCAAGTCTTTCCGGACACTATTGAGCAGCTGCAGGAACATACAATTCTTTTTTTATAGACCAGAAAAAATAAAAATAAAAACCAAGCAGTCTGTCCCCTTCCTAACCCTGTGTAATTGTTGTGTTACAAGGAGAAGCCAAAGTAGGATAGGTACCTCATCTTTCATCCATGACAAAATAAAACCTCTAACACCAAACCACATTAGAGTAACACTTGAGTGATGAGCCAGGAGGATAAGATGTGCTTATGTCTTGGGCAGCCAACGAGCTTCCCTGGAGAACTGGAACAAAGACTACAAAAGGCTAATTTACTTGAGTCTAGAGATGGTGCACTTTGCAGTAGGGAAACCTAAAGAACATGTTCAGCCACTAAAAGAGAATAAATTCCAAACAGAAATGAAAGAAGAATGGAAAAAATCTGTGCTACATATTTGAAGCTCTTAATATCCAAATTGTCCTTCATCTTGATATTGATATCCATCTCGAAAGAAATATTTCCTAGCCCTTAAAGACAGGTGAAAGCTATTATTCTATCTCAAGCATTCTATTATCTTTTTTTAAACCTTGTTTTCCTCCTCCTCCCCCTTACTTCAGTATTTTTAGGAGAAGGAAATCCTCTTTATAGACAGGCCCATTTGGGAACCCAAGTGCTTCCTGGTAAAGAAACAGTACTAGTGAAATTTTGATCATGCAAAACTTTCCCTGAGATCAAAAATCAAATTTGTTCCTCGTAACTCTTAAGTATTACTGAAAGCCATTTAGGGATCTGATCCCTAGGTCTCTGACTCCCACATCAGTGTTCCTGCCACTGGGCCATCTTGCAACCTTCACAATATGGCTCATGGTTCATGAGGCTCCTGAAATTCTCAACATGTGGCTCATGTGGTTAATGGTTCACTGGTTCATGACAGAGCAGCCTGAGTCCTACTGGATAAAATAATGTTCAATAGTACGTTTAAAATAAGGGATAACTGGCCTGGGGAAGAGGTTGAGAGTTTTCAGAAAAAGATCTTTTTTTCCTTCAAAAATTGAATATGTTTGACTGAATGTGACTTTTGTTACTTGCCAGGCCCAAAAGAATAAAGCATAATCAAAAGGTCACTGCAGTCACACATTCACAAGAACGAGAGCAGAGGCTCATAAGTAGCTGTTAAGTCTGTCTAAGGGACACTGAGTATTTGGTCAATTATCAAAGTCTGCCCTGCCCAGTTCCTTCCTAAAGCAACTCTGAGAACTAAAGGTTTTGAAAATAGCCAGGCCAGTCTGCTATAGGAGAGGGCACACAGCTTGCTAGCCAGTCCTCTTCAAGCTCTCAAGGCCTGGCATCTAATTTTATTACATATTTATTATATAAATACATCAGCAATATAATAATGTCAGTAGTAGTTGAACAAAGAAATCAACCAATCTAA